TGCAAAAACAAACATACAAACAAACCATTACCCACAACACCCATACACAACAAACTACACACCAAAAAAAAAACAGAAACAAACTTACCTTAATGGCATGTTGGGAAACATGTTTGCAACTTTGACACTGAAGCCTCAAGACAATTTTCTTAGTGGTCTTAGCCTAATTCAAACAACATAAATAAAACAAAAAAAAATAAGAACCAACAATTAACAGAACTACTAGTTCATAATTAAATTATAAAAAATAAAAATAAAAAACAATGAAGGATTTAAGGTAATAATAATTGATTGAACCTTTTTGTGAAAAACAGGCTTGGTCTGTCCACCATAACCAGATTGTTTGCGATCATAACGCCTCTTTCCTTGAGCAGCAATGCTATCTTTACCCTTTTTGTATTGGGTAACTTTGTGTAAGGTGTGCTTCTTGCACTCCTTGTTTTTGCAGTATGTTTTCTTTGTCTTTGGAACGTTCACCTGCAACAACAATTAGAGATCGAATTAATTTAGATATACCGTGAGATTGATGAATGGATTTGTTGATAGATAAAGAGGGGAATACCATTGTTGCGTAAGGGTTTGAGATCGGCTGAACAAACGAAGGGTGGAGAAGGAAGCAGAGTCTGTTTTATATGACTGTGAATTAGGGTTTTTATGTTCCAGCGAATTGATTTTGGGCTTTTTTGTGTCCTAAAGGACTTATCGGGTTTGTTCCACTTGTGGCCCAAATTAGATTAGTTGAGTTTCATTTAAAAAATAGGGAATTTCTTTATATATCTCTTATGACCTTTATAGCTAGGGAAAAATTACTGAAAACTCGAAAATTTCTTTCAGATATGTATTTTCGAACGCATCTCAAATCAAGGTGTTTTGGAGATATATTTTCGAAAATAATTTGTTTAGTATGCTGTGATAGTTTCAAAATAACTTGATTTGGAGTGTGTTCAGAGATACATATTTGAAACTCTTGACAATGATTTTTTTAAACATCAATGTCTTGGGGTTCTCAGCTCTCTCTCTCGTCGAGTGGATCTAGTTTGGTTAGGCCTACCAAATCTCAATATGTTGGAATTCTCTGTCATTTTGCTGAAAAAAGAATTAATTGTTAATCAAAGGGAAGCGGACGAACAAGAAGGTGTTTGAAAATTAAAAAAAAAATCAACTCATGCATGTTTTCGAATATGCATCTTCGAAACTCCTCAGAGGAGTTGTTCGTTTGTTACTGCAATGCCCTAATTCAGAGATATATCTTCAAAATACTCCTGATTTTGAAAAAAAAAATGTTTCAAAAATATATCTCTAAATACCCTATGAAAAATAAAATGCGGTGCATTCGGAGATACATCTCCAAATTCTAGGGGGGTAAAAAATGGAATTTCACCAAATTTGGCTAAGAAAGTGTAAGGGTGAGGAAGAAATTCCCTAAAAAATAATACTAGTTGAACAATGGTAGGCCGTTTTTTATTGCACCTTTATACATTTCCCCAAATCTATTATGAAATGTCCAAAATATTTCATGTTTTGGGAGATACATCTTCGGACGCCACTAGATATCATTTTTTTCACAGTTATATTCAGAGATACATAATCAGAGTATTTTTAAGAGTGTGTTCAAGGATATATCTGCGGACATGACCCGGTTCCACAAATCGGAAACTTGACAACATGAATGAAAATAAAAAACAAACAAATACCAACATCAACATTTTAAATAAAAACATTCATTACTTAGATAGTCAATAAGTTATATGGGTCAATTTTGCTTTTTGATTCTATTCAAGATGCACTTATTCCTTGTCGTAGCGGTAAAACACCATTTTCAAAATGGATGCACTTCCTTGAAATAAACTACCTTGTAGTAAGATTATATGATAGAGTGTATATCGATCTGACAAGATATGAGTTATCAGATACATTTTTTTTCCATTAGAGTGGTCAGATATCTGAAAACTTACCTGAACTAGAGAAAAAAACAAAAAGTTTGTAAACAAGTACATGTAATGTAAACCAAACCAGAAAAAATAAATCGTATCAAGATTACATCGTTGGCGGTAATACATACAAAAATGTATTGATTACGTTCTAAAATGCATCAAAATATCCAGTACACATAAATCTATTGTTGGTTCCTACTTTGATGCTTCCTTGTTTGATTTTCTTTCATGCTCCATTAATTTGGTGAACTCTATCATCCTCTCCATAAATTGATTTGGCCAAGTTTCTGCCTCATTTGATGAATGTGTCATTCACTCGATTGAAGTAGATGGAATTGGACACTCAGATTTTAAATAAACCTGAACAAAATGTAGGCCATTTAAAAGAAAACCTTATGCACATGATATGTCTAGAAAGGTTTTTAGGTGGACCACTCTGTAATAGAAAAAATGTATCTGATAACTCATATTTTGTCATATCGATACACACTTTGTCATATAAACTTGCTACAAGGTAGACCATTTCACAGAAGCGCATCCATTTTGAAAACAATGTTTTACCGCTACGACAAGGAATAAATGCATCTTAAATTGAATCAAAAAACAAATTAGACATGTATAACTTCTTATAAAATTCCATGTGTGTTGTCAACTCTTTCAAAAGTGTGAAGCAAACAAGTTAGTGATCCTCCTCTCACTTACCAAGAAATTCAGATAAAACCTGAAAATTAATTACCATCATCCCTAACATTCATAATTCCCTCAGTGTGTTTGTGCATAAAAAATGATATCTCATCAATGAAGTGGTGGAGGTGGTTTGCTAATGCGAGCACCCTTTTAAACACTTTTTTTATGAGATTTTAGAGTTGAAGAATATGGGAAATATGAATCAACATGTTCAAAGTACGATAGAGACCACTTTTTTGAATTGAACACCTTAGGCGTGTTTTCCTGGTACTTCAACAAAGTCTTGCACACTTCCAAAGCATAAGTAACGTTGACCTCTTTTTCGGATTCCAAAAATACAAATCCCACTAAAAAAATCTTCTTTGTAGAAGTAACACCAACAATTTAAAAATCAAAAACCTATACTTATTGGTAATGTATTTTGCATCAATAATAAGGACAATATGAAATGTGTTGAATAACTTGATAGTTTCTGGATGAGTCCAGAAAATGTCACGAACAATAACTTTATCATTACATACTGCGTATTTAGAAACATAATGGTTTTCATCCAAAATTTTCAAAAGTTATTGCATTTTGGATTTTAGACCCCTTATCACCATGTTGTTTCGATGACGCTGATTGTATACTTACTTGATAATTGAAACATTTTTTGAGTATTTCCATTTAAAAACTGCAGGTTTTTTTTTTGTGCGACTGATTAAAGACATGTTCAAGACAATTTCCTTCCCATCTAGTTTAAGACGATGTACGTTAGGATGATCAGCTAGCTTTGTTTACAAGTCATAATTATGTATTCTATAAAGCACATCAAATTCGTAAATCTCACCCATGATACAATATCCGTGCAGTTTAAACGGGCAACCACACTTTTCAATCCAGTGTCATCACTTTTCAACTTCGAATCGGGGGAACATACGTTCCACTTCTCTCGCATCTGATGGTTACAAATGCTTCTCTTCTATTTGAACCATTGTCATACCTTCAAATTACAATGCCAAACCCCAAATTCCTGGCTACCATGTGAACCTATTGAAGCATATGTTCGCGAGAAGTATACAGTTGTTCATTTATAAATATTGACCAACGTCCATCTCTATCTCTTTAACATCATCCTTCACTTTTCCAGTTTAACATCCTGCTTAACTTCAATTGGTTTAAGATTATCCTTCGCTATATTTTGTTTTACATCGTTACGTACAACAACTTTAGGAAACATAATAGGGTGAACCATATCTAATAAAACCAAAACAGGAAAAATCTTAGAAACCAGTAATAGATGGATTCAAATATACATTTTTGAAATAATATAAGTGAGTTCAAATATGTATATTCGGATGAGGCAAACATTTTTTCATATCAAACTAAAGATCAATGCAAGTAATGAAGGATAAAATAAGGGAACTTTACCTTAAATTGTGGCTTATGATGCTCCCTTTGATGTGTTAAAATGCAAGAAATCTGGTTTTGAATCGAAAAGTTAATTGATAATAAGATTTTTTGAGGGGTTTTTTGGTTATGGAGGAGTTTGAAAAGTGATGAAGATTATCATGCAAGGTGGTCATATATTCAAATTCCCGCTGCACATTTTTGGATATACATCTTCGAAAAATATCATTGAGTGGTTAAAAAAACTTTTAAATGAAAAGGTGACTTTGTAGATGTATCTCCAAGAATGCCCTTGGTTGAATTCGGAGATGCATATCCGAACTAAATTTTGTCAAAAAAATGCTATTTGATTCTTTTAAAGATGTATCTCTGAATTTATCTAAGGACATTTTCAAATTTTCAGAGGTGTGTCTTATAGTACAAGGGGTGCGATGAGAAATTGTCTAATGGTATACTTTACTTCTCCTCTAAATTTAGAAAATCAAAATCAAATTATCAATACTCAAGAACTTAGATATAAGAGGTCTTGGGTTCAATATCATCATAACCACGCGAGGATACCTGGATTCTACAAAAAAAAAATAGAAAATCAAATATCACCTTAAAACTAATATTAAGTTATTAATCTCTTTTTTTTTTTAGAATCTCACTTCTTATTGAGCGGTTTTTCTTTTTTAAAATATATATTTAAAAATTTTATTTTAATTTTAAGAATTTATTTGATATGCATTGACATCATTGAATTGCAATAATTGGATTTTAACTTTCATCTTAATTCTCTATTATCAAATAAGATTTATAAATAATTGTGATGTACCAATCATGTAAAAAATATTACACTGATAATATATAATAATTAATCTCTAATTTTAATTGTTTTATACATAAAATAAATATTTCTTATTAATCAATTAATTATATTTAATATTTTATTATTTATTTTCAAAAGTATATTAAATAAATTGTATCGTATATTTAAAAGTTAACAATTCTGAAGACAAAATTAAAGGCAATTTTGTAATTTTTAAGTTATATTTATTTATTATTATTATTTATCCCACTAATTTATTATTTATTATTTTTATTTTTTATATTTTATATTATTATTTATTATACTACACTAACACCTCATTTTAATAAAGTAACTTTAAGTATAAACCAGCAACACCAAAAATTATAGATTTATGATAAAATTATGAAATTCTCTAGTTTAAAAGATCGTTAAATCCTATTTCTAACACAAATGGTTGCACCTCAAACGAACTTTAGAAACTCAAGTTACGCGTGAAACGAGATGACCAACACATGACTGAAATTTGACTACGCTTCTAGTATAAAAAACATAGAGTTATAACGCTCCTAGACCCAATTTCCCCACTTCAACAAAAAAATATTGTGATAATTTTCTAACGCAACTGACAGTACCTCAAATAGACTTAATATTTTTTGCATTTTTCTATCTATTAAGCATATTCAAAACTCATCTATTTCGCTTATCCGAGTTCTCACTGTCCTAAAAACACACAGATAAACATATCTGTTAAAAAAGGAACAC